TTCTCTGTGTAGCCCTGGCTGTCCTGGGACTCACTTTGTAGACCAGGCTGGCCTCAAACTCAATGAGATCTGCTTGCCTCTGCCTCCCAAGTGCTGGGATTAAAGGTGTGCACCACCATCACCTGGCGTAGATCTAATTTTAAGAGTTGAATCACATGTAGCAAATTAAGATTACCTATGCTTAAAATTTTAACTGTCAACTGCTGTGGGATGTTCTGTATGGCAAATGTGTTGCTGATTGGTCAATAAATAAATCACTGATTGGCCAGTGGCCAGGCAGGAAGTATAGGCAGGACAAGGAGGAGAATAAAGCTGGGAAGTGGAAGGCTGAGGCAGAGAGACACTGCCAGCCACCACGATGAGAAACAGCATGTGAAGATGCCGGTAAGCCATGAGCCACGTGGCACGGTATAGATTTATAGAAATGGATTAATTTAAGCTATAAGAACAGTTAGCAAGAAGCCTGCCACAGCCATACAGTTTGTAACCAATATAAGTCTCTGTGTTTACTTGGTCGGGTCTGAACAGCTGTGGGACTGATTTGTCCTGACTGTGGGCCAGGCAGGAAAACTCTAGCTACAGTCAACCTTTTGTTATAAGTTTTAAGCTAACTTTTTGTTACAGATTTTACAGATTTTTAACCATAGCCAATGAATTTACAAATCTTGAGATAGTTTACAGCATGGTCTTAAGAGATTTTTGGCTGGGCGGTGGTGGTGCATCCCTTTAATCCCAGCACTTAGGAGGCAGAGCCAGGCAGATCTCTGTGAGTTTGAGGCCAGCCTGGTCTACAGAGCGAGATCCAGGACAGGCACCAAAACTGTACAGAGAAACCCTCTCTCGGGGAGAGAGAGAGAGAGAGAGAGAGAGAGAGGAAATTGTAGAGATAAAAGATTTTTAGGGGAAGGTGAGGGGGGCAGGAGGGGGGAGAACAAGGGAATCCATGGCTGATATGTAGAACTGAATTGTATTGCAAAATAAAATATATATATATAAAAAAAAGATTTTTAGGAGTGGAAAGTTGAAAAATCTTAGAGATAAGGAACTTTTGGAAGTGTAGAGCAGAGACAGTTTAGAAATAAGAGATTTGGGGTTCATTTGTTTGTGCAGTAGCAGAGGTTGCTAGCATATGAGAAAATTTGAAAAATTGAGTGTGTCATCTTTGGCTATTGATTGAGCTGTACTGAGGCCGAGCCATTTCCAGTAAGACAGTGAGGCTTTAATAAAATTAATAAATTTAATAAAATTCCAGAAGAGAAGGAGAAAGAGCTGCAAAATGGAACTCCACCAGAGGGAGGGTGCCAGGAGGTGGGTGGGAAATGTTGATAAGAAGGATGTGATGAATAAATGAAGAGCATTGGCCACAGCTTGGAGACTTGGGTCAGTGCTAGTTGGTGAGGCTACACTGAGTAAGTGTGAGGCAATGGCTCCTTCATTGTATGACTGGAAGTGCTGTCTCTGAGAATCCAGGAGAGGCTGGGGAGTGCTCAGCTAAAGGAGAACTAGAAAATGTTGGTAGGTGTCTGTCAGAAGCCTAGCACACCCAGAAGTCATCAAGTGGCTCTAGGTAAGGTCTGGAAACGTCAGAGTGCTGTGGATGGGAAAGAAGCTGTCCCCCAGACTCCTTGTGAGAGTCCCTGGGTGCTGGCACTGGCGGATAAGGCAGGGAGGGCTCTGTAGTGCAATGCGTGGTCTAGGGACTCACACCTAGGCCTCACTGAACAGGAGCCATGTACTTTCATCCAATGGGTGATAGTTGGTGACTGTCCATGCTTGCTGCATGGAGGTAGTGGTGGCTTTTGGGTCAACAAGAAATCTTTACCTTGCCTTCCCTTTCCAGGCAGCTCAGTGTGTCTTGTGTGTTCTACATCCACAGATCTAGCCATGAATGGACTGAAAGTACCCCTGGGAAAATAATATCTCCTCTGAAAGTTGTACAGATCTTTTCTTGTCAGTATCCATGGAGGATACACATAACTGTTTACTAAATGTTTGTGTTGTGTTCCATGTTGCAGACAACCTGGAAGTGATTTAATATATACAAGTATTTGGGGTCGTATACCAATACTGTGTGTGCGTGTGTCAGATCTCCAGAAATATTGTCCACCTCCCTTGAGACAGAGTCTCTCAGTTGCCCATTAATTATACTAGACTGGATGGCCATCAAAACCCAAGGATATGCTTCTCTCCACTTTCCCAGCACTAAGATCATAAATGGATGCCACTAGGCCTGGCTTTTCTGCGGGTCCTGGGGATTGAACTCAGGTCCTCAAACTTGAAAGCCAAGCATCTTACTGTAAACTGAGTCATCTCCTGGGCCCCATATCATGACCTTTCCAAAGCTCTATGTCCCCATCTGTAAAATACACACAAGAAGGTTCATAGTGCAGTCATATTAGCAAAAACAAAACACAAACAGAACTGAATACATGTCCACAGGCCAACCTAGATTACGGCTTAGCCTCAAGGCCAACAAAGCATGACCCCAGCTTCTGTTGGCATAGGAAGTGGGAGGGACATGGCATTTGTTGAATACCTACTGCACACCCTATGTTTCTGTGGCAACCCCTGGAGCTTGGCCTTGGATGGAACTCAGAAAACAGTGATGATCCAGCAGGGAGGTTCTAAGGTAGGAGGTGGCCAAGAACTCAGGTTGGAGGAGACAGTTGGAAGCTGCTCTATGTTGAGGGTTAAAGGGTTCATCTGCTAATGACAGCCTTGTTGCAGATATGAGGGGCCCAAAAAATAGAAAGAGGGCTGAAGATGAGACTAGGAAAACTATGAAACTTAAAGCCACTGTGCACTCTCTTGGTCCAGATCTCTAAGGATTAAAATGAGGGACAGCGTGCCCATCTGCCTGTCCAGGGATGGACACTGACAAGTTCTTTGAGATCTGGAAACAAGACTAGAGGTGAGAACACAGCATACTGTCCCTCAGTGCCCATGGAGGGCTGATTGCAGAAGGCTATGAAGATAGGAAGGGAAAAAAAAACCCCTAAAGTTGTATTTTGTATGTTTGTTTTTGTTTTTTAAACAGGCTGATCTCAAGCTCATGATCCTCCTGCCTCAACTTTCCAAGTGCTGGCATTACAGTTGTGTGCATCATCATATCTACCAGTCCATCTTATATAAGTCCCTTCCATAAAACAGCATACAAGGACTGGGAAGATGGCCCAGTTGGTAAAGTGCTTACCTTTTAAGCATGAAGACCTGCATTTAATCTCCAGAACACACACACACACACACACACACACACACACACACACACAGAGTCAGGCATTACACCTGTACTTGTGATATCAGTGCTAATGTGGCAGACACAAGAGGAAACTCTATCTAAAAAGAAAAGTGGAGGCTGGAGAGACGGCTTAGTGGTTAAGATCACTTGCTATTTCCAGGGGAACTGGATTCAGTCTCCCAAACCCACATAGAGTAGCTCACAACTGCTTATAACTCCAGCTCCAGAGCATCAGAGGCCTTCTTCTGGCTTCCACAAATACCTGCAGCCATATGGTGCACACTCATATTCTCAGGCACACACACATACACAGCAAAACAAAACAAACAAACAAAGCTGGACATGGTGGGCATGCCTTTAATCCCTTCACTCGGGAAGCAGAGGCAGGCAGGTGGATCTCTGTGAGTTCGAGGCCAGCCTGGCCTACAGAGCAAGATCCAGGACAACCAGGACCACATAGAGAAACCTTGTTTCTAAAAACAACACCCTCCCCCTGTGGTGGTATTGTGTTCCCCAAAATATTGTGCACCCTAAAAAATTTATCTGGGATCAGAGAACAGACAGCCATTAGATACAGAGGCTAGAAAATGGTGGTACTCACACCTTTAATCCTAGCATTCCAGAGGCAGAAATCCATCTGTTCAAGGATACAGCCAAGCATGGTGACTCATGCCAAAAAGTGAGCCTTTAATCCCAGGGAGTGGTGGTAGAAAGCAGAAAGGTATATAAGGCATGAGGACCAGAAACTAAAAGTATTTGGCTGGTTAAGCTTTTAGACTTTGAGCAGCACAGTTCAGCTGAGAGGCATCCAGTCTGAGGAAACAGGATCACCTGAGGAATTGGCCAGGTGAGGAAGCTGTGGCTTGTTCTGTCTCTCTGATCTTCCAGCATTTCACCCCAATAACTGGCCTCAGGTTTGATTTTATTAATAAGAACTTTTAAGATTCCTGCTACATCCCCCCCCAAAAGCAAACAAATCAAAAATGTTAGACAGAACCTGAGGAACAACACCTGTCCTAGTTAGGATTACTATTACTATGATGAAATACTGTGAGCAAAGAAGCTTGGAGAGTGATGAGTTTATTCAGCTTACATTTCCATATCATTGTTCATAATCAAAGGAAGTCAGGACAGGAACTCAAACAAGGAAGGATCCTGGAGGCAAGAGCTGAGGCAGAGGCCTTTGAGGGGTGTTGCTTACTGACTTGCTCCCCCTGGCTTGCACAGCCTGCTTTCTTGTAGAACCCAGGACCACCAGCCCAGGGATGGCACCACCCACAATGGGCTGGGCCTTCCCCCATTAGTAACTAATTAAGAAAATTCCCTCCAGGCTTGCCTACAGCCCTATCTTATAGAGGCATTTTCTTAACTGAGGTTCTCTTAGGTGATTTTAGTTTTTGTCAAGTTGACATAAAACTATCTAGCATAATGTTGAGCATTATCCTCCACCTGCATGCACACATATGAGTGAGCACACAGACACATATATGTGCCCATTCATACACACAAACAAACACATGAGGTCATGCTGCCTCTTCAAGTTCACCTAGTGAATGAAGTTGCAGAGCCACATGTCCAATCCTGTCCCCTCAGACTCAGTGTTTCTACTACTTACACTCACTGTTTTGTTCTTTCTTGAGACGGGGTCTCACATGTTGTCTCTGGCTAGCTTCAAACTCACCACTCTCCTGCTTCAACCTCCTTAGTGTTGGGATTTCAGACAAGCACCATCATAGCTGCCCCCCTCTTTTCTTCCTCCCAGAAAAGGAAAAAACCAAGCTGCAGAAGCAGAGAGAGGATGAATTAATCCAGAAGATCCACAGACTGGTGCAGAAGAGAGATTTCCTGGTGGATGATGCTGAGGTGGAACGGTTAAGGTGGGGCCCAGGCCATCAGATCCCAAGCCTCTACTCCCTGCACCACCCTACAAACCCATTGTCTGCTCCTGGGACTTAGGGCCTTGCCTAACAGGCGTGGCCTCTGCCATTGCTCCCCAGACACTGAACCCTTTTGACAGCAGAACCTATTTCATATTCAAGAAAAACGCCATTTCATCCCTCAAAGTCTTGCAAAGTCCTCTATATCTCAGCTGATTGCCTTCTAGCAGGTGGGCAGGAAGGAATTCCATCATGTGATAGAGGACAAAGTGCCCTACATACACATTGTCTGGATTCATCAAAACTACTGTCAATACATACAAACACTGCCCCCATGACAGTGTCTCCCAGTTCCCAGCTCTGTGCTTTCCTCTCCTTTTCTCCCCCTCATGCTGTTTCCTATCTGTTTGTACCTGGAAATCTTAGCCTGGAGCACCCCCCAGCTCTGGAGCTGTAGAGGCCCCTAAGAATGCCAGGTCTGGGTGCAGTTGTGCGTCTTAGATATTTTGTCCCAGGACAAAGCCTTTGGTGTCTCTCCCCATGTAGGGGGCAACTTCTCTTCACTGCCTGTGTTCTCTGAGAACTTTGCCAGAGTCAGCTGGGCTGCACAAAACCCATTTTATTCTTAGCAGCCTTAAAGGCAAAGGTGACTTTCTCTCTGAGATGGGCCCTGAACCTGTGGGAGTCAGGGTGTGTGGGCTAGCTTGAAGGCACAAGGATGCTTCCCAGTTCACTGAACCCCAGCAAGGTGCCTGGGTCCTAGAATGTCCTTATTTCTGCCTTGAGGTCTCATTCTAGCTCTGGGCCATCATTTATACAGTGGTGTGTGTCTTCATTAGAGATACGGTTCACCTAGCACAGACTCACACACCATATGTACACATTACACAATAACATATCCACACCACCCACAAAGCTCAACATGTCTGCTCTCACTTAGCCCCTTTCTGGGTATCACTGGCATTTTCTTTGCTGACTTTATTTCCCTCTTCTCTTTCCCATGTCCATCTTCCCAGGGAACAGGAAGAAGACAAGGAAATGGCTGATTTCCTGAGGATCAAGTTAAAACCTCTAGACAAAGTAACCAAATCTTCAGCCAGTGAGTGCCTGCATGGTTCCCCCCTTCCCTATGACAGAGAAGATTTCAAACAAGTGAGGGCAGGGTGTATAAGACACGCTTTATAAATATAGCTCAAGCATGGGATGGCAGCAGGCAGTGCCAGGCTCATGAGCCTGCAGCTTGTGCAGTTTCCCAGGTCCATGCCCTGATGTGCTCCATGCTACAACTGTCTTGAAACTTGTAGTAATTTTGGTTTCAAGAGCCTTGTGCTGTCATTTCCCCAGTATAAGCAGCTGGCTCTGCAGAGCTGTCCTTCCACAGTCCCATTTGATGTGTTTCATTAAAGGAGGAGCTCCAGCTGCTGTTAGGGCTGGAACCTGAAAGAGCCAGAAACACAATTCTCAAAATAATTATTAGCTTTAAGAAACACCCAGAGCAGAAAGAGTTTTGCATGAGACAAATTTGGGAATACCTCATGGCCACCAGATGTTAAAGTGATCAGGGCTTCTGTTGCCAATGTCTTCTCTTTTTTGATATAATGTTTGGTAGATATCTCTAACTGCTACATTAGTGAGGTCCCTTTCATTTTTAAGAAGTAGATATCCTGCCAGGGGGTAGTTGCGCACACCTTTAATACCAGCACTCAGGAGGCACAGGCAGTGGATCTCTGTGAGTTTGAGGCCAGTCTGGTCTACAGGACTAGTTCCAGGACAGCTAGAGCTGTTATACAGTGAAACTCTCTCGAAAAAGCAAAAACAAAAACAAAACAAAAAAATAAGTGGATATCCTTGGATATTGGTGGTGTACATCTTTAATCCCAGTACTTGGGAGGCAGAGACAAGTGGGTCTGAGTTTGAGGCCAGCCTGGTCTACATACATAGAACTAGTTCCAGGCCAGCCAGGGCTACATAGTAAGACCCTACCTCAGAAAAAAAAAAAGTACATACCTTATTAAATTAAGACTAAAAAAATGGGGAAGTGTTGTTCGAGAAAGAAGAACTCAACCTCTGGGACACAGCACTGTTAGGCCTGCCTTTCCTTCTCCCCACAACTCATGTCCTTTTACACTAGCTCCATTGCTCCTGTGTACTGGACCTGCCAGAACAACTTGAAGGAGTAAAGGTTTATTTGAGCTCCTGGCTTCAGAGGTGTCAGTCCACCATGATGGAGGGAGCATGATGGAGAAGAATAGTTGACATGATGTCTAGGAATAAAAGAAAAAAGATCATAGGAAGGGGCCAGAACAAAATGTATCTCCCAGAGGCATGCCCCAGTAACTCAATTCCTCCAAGTGGGCCTTGCTCCACCTTCTTCCAACTCTAGCGATGCTTTCATATTAAGAATCCTTCCAGGGATGACTCCATTGATTAGGCCAGAGCCTCACATTCTAATCTTCTCTGGAATACCACCATAGACACATCCAGTGGTATGCTTTACTAAACAGATAATTCTCAATCCAATCAATTTGAAAATTCATATGAACCATCATAATCTGATAAACAGGTCTCCATGGGCCAGAACCCAGAACCACAGCTTGGCAACTCCAAGGTAATGCCAGACTTTTTTTTTTCCTTTTTTTGGTTTTTCAAGACAGGGTTTCTCTGTGTAGTTCTGGTGCCTGTCCTGGATCTTGCTCTGTAGACCAGGCTGGCCTCGAACTCACAGAGATCCGCCTGGCTCTGCCTCCCGAGTTCTGGGATTAAAGGTGTGCTCCACCGCTGCCCAGCACCAGACTCTTTCTTGTACTTTAGTCAGGGTTCTCTAGAGGAACAGAACCTATAAAATGAATCTCTCTCTCTCTCTCTCTCTCTCTCTCTCTCTCTCTCTCTCTCTCTCTCTCTCTCTCTCTCTCTCTCTGTGTTACTTTATTCTATCCATGTTCCTACATAGAAGGTGTATGTCTCTGCTCTCTCACCATGTTATTAGGTGGAGTCTTTCTATTTGATATTTTATAGAAGAGAAAGGCCTGTGAGGAAACTGATTTTAGGCAGGGATGTGTACCTTGTGGTTTTAGTGACCAATACAAGAGAGCCCTTCTGTATTCCCCATACTTGACAACCATGTTTTCACAGGTCATTAATGGGTGGCACAAAAAAACTGGACTTGTAGAACTTCTCAAAGTGGTGCACACATCTCATACACACAGCCTTCCATAGGCAACAACCTCTAGGAAGATTATCTCACAGTAAAATTTGAATGGAAAATTAAATCATCATGATAGGAGTCAGTGGATACAACAAAGAAAATGACTTCCCAAGAACCTGATAGAAGAAGCCATCAAGATGGCTCAGTGGATAAAGACACTTGCTACATAAGCCTGACAACCTGAGTTTGATCTTCAGCACCCATGTAAATGTGAGAGAACTTCACACAATAGTCCTCTGCCCTCCACACATATGTGTCCCACCACATCATCTGTGTGTATACATATAAATTATAAATAAAGTTTTTAAAAAATATTTTTAAAAAACTATCTTGAAGAGACAGTGCACTGGGCATATTGAAATTATTAAAGAGACAAGAAACAAAACTCAAGATGAAATAGAACAACATTATGAAAAAGAATAAACAGACTTGCAAAAATATTAGCCTCATTAATAAAACTTCTGTGGAAGAAAAAAATTAAAAGGATTAAATAAGGAGACACAGTTGAAAGCATGCTTCATAAAATGGAAGGCAATTCTGAAGAAATTACTCAGGATACAGAACAAATAGGAAGCAGTGGAAAATACAATAGCTTCTACAAAGAGAGAGGACAGAATGACAAGGTCTAACTTACATTTAATAGGTATTCTGAAGAGGATAAAATGGAGGATGACCAGTAGAGCATTCTGAAAAGATAACATGAGCATTTTCCTAAATTGAAAGGTGTGAACCCTCGGGTTAAAATGCCTTGAACAAAATTTCCCATTTATCCTGCACTAGGCCTGCAAGCTAACATGATGAGAGGAACTGACTAGGAGATAGGCTAAAGCTTCACTTGAAACCTGAGGAATGAATGACATGAAGGTCCATGGATGATAAACATAAAATGCACAGCCATTCTCCACAAGGCCTGGTCATGGGTTGGTTTTGGGTTGGACTGCCAATGGTCAGGGCTTTCTTGTCCTTACCTTTCTCTCTTTCCCTCTGCTTTTCCATTGCTGCAGGCTCCCGGGCAGAGAAGAAGGCAGATCCCCCACCTAGCAAGCCAACTGTGGCCAAGACAGGCCTGGCACTCATCAAGGATTGCTGTGGGGCCACCCAGTGCAACATCATGTAGCCCCTATGTGGGGTACCCCAGAGCCATGGGGACCATCCCTCCCACCCTCTTGTCCTCATAGCCCCCATTTTACAGGGGTTTAAGAGATTTCCAAGGCAGAAGGGGTTGAAGGCAAGCCCATGACTGCTATCATGGGCCATGGGTATGGCAGGTGGGCCCAGCCACTGCTGTGCAGAGTGTAGCAATAGAAAGCCCCTCACTGTCGCATGGCCCTCCCCAGAGCATGCCCAACCCAGGAGTCTGTCTCATTGTTTATCTAACCACCAAGAAAGCCCCTCCCTTAAAACAGTATACCCTCACAAACCCATCATGTGAACAAACTGGGAAAGGGGCACGCCCCCTAGGTGTGTATGGCTGTGAATTCCAACAATCTAGCACCATGTTGGATCCATTCCCCATCCACCCTCCCAGCTTTGCTGTCAGATACAAGTCCTGCTCCCTGTTTGTCCTCTCCCAGGGACTATAGCCTGGAGGGTTCCACACAGCCCACACTCCTCTTAGGTTCCATTATGATCACTTTCCTAGAGGCACTGGCCTGTCTGTGAAGGCTGAGCTTGTGTGTGGTGTTGGGTTTATGCCTCCAGCTCCCTCCCATCCTGTATCTGGTCATAGTTCATATCAGGCTCCAGGTTCTTTCTCAGTTTGCCATATCCAGCCCACAGTGGAGCAGGGTGGGGAGGAGTGGCCAAGAACAGTTGCAGTGCTTGGACCAGGTTGCAGAGAGCTGCAGGTGCCAATGTCAAGGTTGAGTGGTCGAGAAAGGGATCCAGAACAGATGCCAACCCACATCCTCTTCACCCACTGAGGGATGCTGCAGGGAGTACCAGTGAGGGGTCACCCTGCTGGCCCAAACACATCTCTGTAAAGAACAATTGACAGGCAGGAAAGGAAGCCTGACCCAACTGTGTCCCGTCCGTCTGATGGTGTGTTTGAACCAGCCCCACAATTCCTCCTGTGTAACTTGATGTACATTTGCCATGGCCAGCCCGGCACAGCCTGTGTGACCTCTCTGTGCATATATGTGTGTTGTGATTGGCCTAAGTAGTTAGCACCAGTCAAGATTTGCTGATGTGCAAACTATTCATCAGAGAAAATAAAATTGAAAAACACAAAGCATTTTATAAGTTCTTACCTCTTTCTTTCTTGATTATGGACATGTACATAGGAAATCATTTTAAAAGTACAGAAAGTATATAAAAAAAATTTAACCACTCACAACTTTCCCAAGACCTCTGATATTTTGACATATTTCTTTGAAGCCTTCTCATACATTTCTTTTGTAATGATTGGCATCCATATTGAAACATTTTATACCCAGCTTTCCTTTTGGTTATTATTCCACATAGGTTCTTCCTACATCATTAAAAGCTCTTTGTTAATGTTAAACACTCTTCATAAATATTTATAATGGCTGTTTAGTACTCCATCTTGTGGACATACTATCTTACCATTGCCTCATTACTGACATCTAGACTGTCCCTACCTTTTCCCACATTACAATAAGGTCATGATCAATATCCTGAGGAGATAAACCTTCATCTGAATTTCTGTCTTTTTTTTTTCTAAGATAAACTAGAAGAAACATTGTTAGACCATTAATAAGAAGCATTTTCAAAATACTTGTAAACTTGGCTTGGGGTATAGCTTAGGTAAACTGCTTGCCTCACATGAACAAAGCCCCTGGGTTCTATCTCAACTTGTGTGTAACCTGGGTGTGATAGGGCATGTCTGACTCAGCACTGGGGGGAAGTGGGGAAGTGGATATGGGAGGTTAAGAAGTTCAAGGCCACCCTTGGCCACATGTTATATTTAAAGCTAAATAAGACCTCCATCTCAAAAAAAAAAAAGTAAATTTGGAGTGGATCTGTAGTGCCATCACAATGGCTTTGGAATTGACTTCAGTTCCAGCTGTGGGACCTGGTGTCTTGGTAGGGTGGACAGTGTGTGTCAGACCAGACCATGCACTGTCCCAGATGAGTTTCTGCTTCAGCCCACAGGCCACATCCTGACATCCTATCAGTGAAGACGCTCAGTAGGGCATCTGTCAGAATACTGGCCTCAGGGGACACTGTGTCCTCCTTCAGTACCCTAGACCACATGTGAAGCCAGGCCGTATGTGTGTCCTAGAACAACCATAATAAGTGAGCACAAACTGGGGGCTCAGTACCACAGAAACCCAGCATGAAGTCAAAGGTCCCTAGGGCTTTCCCTGCCAGGGCTATGTATGGGCAGAGTCCCTCTTGGCTTTGTTCAGTTCCTAGGAATCTTGGGCCTTGGTTGGTTTCAATGCTCCCATCCCTGCCTGTCTTCAGGCATTCTCCTTGTTCATCATGTAAGACACCAGTGATAGAGTTTGACTTCATGATCTTCTGCAAAGACCCTACTTCAGTTAAGGCTGGATTCTAAATGTCTGGCTGTGTGGCACAGACTTGGTTGCTGTGATGGAATGCCTGATGAAACAGCTTAAAGAAGGAGAACTGTGAGTTCACGGTTTCTGAGGGATCTACCCATGGCTGCTTAACTCCATGCACTTGAGCAGGACAGAATGCAGTGTAGCATGTTGGAGGAGTCCTGCACCTCACAGTAGGCATCAATGTCCACCTTATCTGACTTCCCACTTCTGTTCCACTAGGGCTCCCAACCTGTAAGATGGGATTCTGCCACATACGGGGTAGGTCTTTCTCTCTTTGGAAACACCTTCATAGATACAGTTAGAGGTGTGCCTTGTTGATCCCTCAGGTACCTCTTAATCCAATCAAATGGACAAGATGAAACCATCAGAGGTAGACATGAAATTGGGGCAGATGTAATTCAACTTCCTGTAGACTCTTTTTACACTCTAACACAAAAGACTAAGACTACATAAAGGGCTCTCTGCTGTCCCTTTCCCCATAGAAAACACAGCAAGCCAAAGGGCCAAGAAGAGCCAATCCCTTACAATATCCTGCCTCCAGTACTCACCTCACTAAGCTCCCAGCATCCAGTACCACTAAATTCCCAGCATCCTGTATCTCACTAAGCTCCAGCATCCATTACCCCACTAAGCTCCTAGCAGACCAGTATTATTTTCTGCTATTCCATTATTGGTTTTGAAAATAAATATCTATGGCCAGTAAGATGGTTTGGTGAGTAAAAAAGTACTTGTCACACAAACTTGATCATCCCCATAATCCACTGTGTTAGTTACTTTTCTATTGTTATGATAAAACACCATAGTCAAGGCAACTTCTTTTTTAAAAAGCATTTAGTTGAGCTTATGGTTCTAAAGGGTTAGAGTCCATGATGGTGCAGTGAAGGCATGGTGGCAGGAACAGTTGAGAGCAAACATCCTGATCCACAAGCAGAGAATCAAGAGTACACTGGGAATGGCAGTGGTCTTTTGAAAGCTCAAAGCCCACCTCCAGTGACATACTTCCTCCAGGAAGGGCGCACCTTCTAACCCCTCCCCACCAAACAGCCACCAAATGGAACCAAGTATTCAAATGCACAAGACTTATGGGGTACATCTCATTTAAAAAAAAAAAGTCAGATGCAGTGGCAAGCCTCTGCAACCCCAGCCCGCTGGCATGAGACGAGAGGCAGGAACAAGACACTCACTCGCCCAGAAGCTCTTGGCTCGGTTAGCTTGAAATACACAGCATGACAGAAACAACAAGAGATCCTGCCTCAAAGAAGAGACCTGCCCTTGAAAGTTGTCCTCTGACTTCCAATGGATACCTTTGCACATGTGCATTCACACTCACGGCGTATTTCACACACACAATTATAAAAGTTATAAAACAAACATTTATTTGTGGTTTAGCAGGACAGGGCAGGATGAAATTGAGAGATGATGCTCTCAGATTACCAGGGCTACCACAAAGCTGGGGAACCTTGAAGACCATAGGACCCTCCTCACCCAGACTCCACCCCTGTGGAAAGCATCAGAACTCTCGGAATAATCTCCTCAGGGCAGGCCCCCAAGGAAATTCCAATACCCATTCATTGTACTGAGTAACATACACACATTGGCTTGCTTGCAGATCCTGTTACTACCTCCACTATGCAGTTGAGGAAATGGCAGGACTCCATGGCCCAAGTCCCATGGCAGTTAGTAGGGGGAATCATCTTTCATTGCTCATGCTCCTATATCCCTGGCAGTTCATTTTCTTCTTACTGCATTTAAATACATCTCCCATTTAAGCAAATGCCTCTCCCCTCTCGTTGCTGTCTTTCTCAGCATCTTCACAGCCTTACATATTTTGAGGTGGCCATAGCCTTGCCACCTCCACCTTCCCAGCCTCCTGAGTCTACTTGTTTGTCCTTCTGGGGTTGGGACTTGCATGTGTTAGTGCTCTACCATGGAGCTGCTGCCAAATCTCTTAAGTCTCTTTTAATCTGATTTTTTACACTCACCAGGAATACAGCTATGAGGTTACATCTGGCTCGAGCACATGAGCCAGCCTAGTCTCTAGTGTCTATCATAGACTCGTGCTTCCTACCTCCCAGGAGCACTTCCCTTTATTTTACTTGCTTTTGAACTTTTCATTTACAGATGTGTGTATATGAGTGCAGGTTCCTGTGCAGGTACCTGTGCAGGCCAGAAGAGGGTGTCAAAGGCTATGGAGCTGGAGTTAGACAAGGTTGAGAGCTGGGAACTGAACTAATACCCCTCTCCAAAACAACCAACACTCTTAACTGCTGAGCCATCTTTCTGGCCTCTTATTACATAGTCTCCTGCCATGTAGGTCAGGTGAACTCAGTACCTAGACTGGCTTGGCCACAGGCTCTCTCAGACTTGCAGCATCCTGTTCTTGCTTCTCAAATGCCAGGGTTATAGCCCAACGTCCTAGTCTCCTTTAAAGCTTCCTGGTCCTGGGGACCCTCAGCAATTCTGCTCTTTTCTCTCTTCTACTCCTCAAACATCTTGGCTAGCCAACTACACTCAGACAGCTTCCTAGACATGTTCTTCAACCAAGATCTCGCCTAAACTCAGATCCATCCTGAATCTGCACTGGAATACAACATGTGCATTAAAGTAACACATCCTAAGCCAAGGGCTGGCAAGCTGCTGTCTAAGGCCTACTGCCTTCTGTCTTTGTAAAGAAAGCTTTCAAAACCTTGACCTTGATGTCATATATATATATATGGGTGTTTGGCCTGCATGTATGTGCACTGCATGCATGCAGTACCTATGGAGAAGAGAGTATTAGATTTCCTGGAAGTGGAGTTGTCACTGCCATGTGGGTGCAGGGAATTGAGCGAGCCCAGGTCCTCTGGAAGAGCAGCCAGTGCTCTTAACCATTGAGCCACCTCTCCAGCCCCTGGAAATAAAGTTTATTGTAAAAAAGTCACTCTCACTCATTCACAGATCACCTCTGGGTACTTCTGTGCTAAGTGGGAGAGTTGCCTATTAAAGAACACATGGTCCACAATTTAGTCTCTGAGCCTTAAGACAAAATTGGTCAACTTCAGGCTGACAAGACAGCTCAGCAGGTAAAGTGCTTGCCACATAAGCCTGATGACCTGAGGTGGGTCCTGTGTGGAAGGAGAGAACTGATTCCTGAAAATTCTCCTTTGACCTCCATACTCATATTGTGGCATGAGTCTCCCAACCCTCATCCATGCCCTATACACTAATAATCAATCTTTGGAAAAATCAGTTGACCCAGTCTAACTTAGTACTAAGTTTCTTCTAAGTATTTCCATGTTGGAGAAGGGTACCCCTGCCCCGGCCAGCGGGGTGTCAACGGGAGCGACCCACCTGCGGGGGAGAATGAAAGGGACGGGGGAGACATGAAAGAAGACAGCAAGACAGTGTTCTGATCAAGCTGCAAATTTTATTCTCCTCAGCAAGGCTTATATATGGAGGGGGAGGGGGCAGGAAGGAGGGAAGGCGTGCACGATGTGCCATACATGCAGGTGAAGGACTACGTGCAAGTCATGAGGCTGCTAGGTGGTAAGGTCACTGGTCAGGGCCCATTGTTCTGTTGCTATGCTACCTGACCTGCCTGACCTGTTCTTTATCTTTGGGGGCATCTAGTTTAGGGCAGGGGCTTGTTCTCTGGCCTAGCTAGTACTTTTCCATGGTCCATGTTTGGTCCCTGACATACTCCCTGTTCCCAGCTGCCCTGTGA